TAGGCTATAACTGTTTTATTGTCAGGGGTCCTGGCTTATTATAATTCTATATTCTCCATATCACTTAGTAGATGTTCAATAAAGATTGACTGTAATTAAAGTACAATTCACACTTCTTGATATTATGAATGTTAAATGTGTTGCTATATTCTACCCTTCCTCTGTGCGATTGTGAAGAATCACTGAATTCATCATTCCAAATGCATTCCATAAATAACTTTTACATTTTCCATTTAATTATAAGATACACATTGCCAATAAAACTATTTTCTGGGCCCATTCTTTTGGCTATGTTATGTCATAATTCAAATCCAGGGAATAATAGATTTGTAGCTTTAAGAGACCTTAGAGGTCATCTAGTCCAACTACCTCATTTTATAGCGGGGGAAACTGAGACATAGAGAGGTTAAGTGATTTGCCTAAGGTCACAGAAGTAGTAGGCCGGCAGAATCAAGATTCTAACTGAGATCCTCCAGGTCCAGACATGCAATCCATTCTACCACAACTCTTAAAGAAAGCTTCAGTTATTGTATTCAAAGAATTCCACTCATTTCTTGGTTTCTTAAGCCCCTCCATCCATCCACTCTGCCACCCCTGCCCCCACCCCTGCCAAACTCTTACATTCCAGGAAAGGAGGCCTTGTTATGATCAGTACCAAGAGCTCTCTTCTTCCTTTCTCAGAATCTATCCTACATTCATAAAAAAACAAATTCCTTCACCTTCCCCTCTACCTCAAGAAAAAAGGGTAGAGTTCTGGAAAAGGAGAGCCGGTATTTGTTAAAATTAATTCCAAGACCTTCAAGCATTTAATAATGAAAGACCGTGAGAGCATTTAGCAATCAAACAATCAGATGCATTCATTAACCACCTACCACATGTCGGGCACTGTACTGGGCTCTGGTGGCACAAAGACAAAAAATGAGATGCTCCTAGTCCTAAGGAAGTTGCATTCTAAGAGAATACAAGATGCATACAAAAAATTAGAAAGTAATTGGGGGGGGGGGGGTTGGGGCACTGACAATCGGGGGAACCAGGAGAGGCCTCCTGAAGAAAGTTATAGTGGGAATTCCCATCGTATATTTGTTTGGACTCCACAGCTGCTGAGGGACATCAGCTTTCAAATTCTGTGGTTTTATGAGCTGAAGGGAGCCATGCATACAAGGAGGCAGAATTAAGGAGAGAGAGCATTCTAGACATGGAGTTCAGCCTGTTCAAAGCCACAGGGAATGTCAGGAAGAGAGAATAGAAAGTAGGCTGGTTTGAACCATAGAGCATGTAAGAGGGAGTAATGTATGATCATCCTAGAAAGAAAAGCTGAAGCTAAACTGTGAAGAGCTTTAAATGCTAAATAGAGGAGACTGTATTTTTATCCTAAAGGTGAACAGCACTGAAATTTCTTTAATGAAGTTTAGGAATAAGAAGATGGAACTCTGTGGTGGATGGACTGGAAAGGAGAGCAGCTGAAAAGCTGGATTAAATAAGACTGATCAGAAGGCTGAATAGTCGATGTGAAAAGTGTTAAAGGCCTAAACAAGGGGTGCTGTGGTATCAGTAAGGAGAATGGCATGATATGGAAGGTGTTGTGGAGGTAGAATTAACAAGACTTAGCAGCTAACTGGTTATATATAGCCAGTGAGAGAGTGAAGCATTAAAGATAACTTTCAGGTGTTGAAGCTGAATTTCAACAGAAATAGGGAAGTTAGAAGAAAAGTTAGTGAGGGGTTTTGTTTTGGGGTGGGATATGGAGGGCATAATGTGTTCAGTTGAGTTTGATACACACGTAAAACATCCAAGTATAGATGTCCAGAAGACAAGTGGAGATGCTAGACTGGAGCTCAGATGAGATTATGAGGGCTAGATTTAGGAGCATCTGCATAGATATTATAGCTGAATCCGTGAAAATGGGTGAGGGAGGGGAGAAGGAAGAGAAAAAGGTAGGGAGGAGGAGAGTGCAAAGAATAGAGCTCTACAGGAAAATGCCATTGGGAGTTGACCTTCCCTTCTCATCCTTGTCTATCAGAGGGTGAAGACACTAAGTGCCTACGAAATAGTCCCAAAGCTTACAGCAGGAAGGGGAGGAAAAGAGGTCCTGAAACACCTGCCAAAGGAATACTTAACAGCTGAATAATTGGAAGAAGTCTCCACTCTTAGAACTATAAGCCTTTGATCTAACTTTGTACTCACTGCATAATTTCCCAACAGAGTTTCTTAACACATACTGCTGCCAGAAAGACCTCTAGAATTACAGAAAAGAAAAACAGCTCTGTTTTGAAAGTTGCCAAACATCTTTCTGGTCATCCTAGGGACCAGAATGCAAGGCTGGGAAGGCCAGGAGGATTGTAATTCATGGCCATTGCTTCATAGAGGACTTCTTCCTGTCTGTTAAAATGATAATGAGCTCTCTACAGGGGTAAGGGATATTTTATCATATCCTAAGAGTTTCATTTGGTTTCCAAATGCCTGATGCTTTTTTTTTGTTCATTTATATTTTATTGGAGCCTCTCAAGACAATTGAAAGCCATATGATGACAATAAGGAAGTGATAAAAGGCAAATATTTGTGAGAGATTTTCCATTGAATCTTAAATAGACCAGCAGAAAAATTAATTTGTCTTCTTGATGATGTTAACAGAGTAAATGAAGCACAGAAGGAAATAAATCTGGATTTGGGGAAAGCTTAGGGGGATAGAACACACCTAATGAAGAGCCATACATGCTCTATTATTTGAATGCAAAGGAACACAACATAAGGGACTGGCTCGAAGGCATTCTGTTTTTTAAACAATAACTTTTAGAACAGCTCTGAGCTGCTGGTGATTCATTCATTACTCAACAATATCAAATTAATGTCTAATTCAGTTACCTCGAGGGTGATTGGTACAACTAAGCTGTAGAATCAACACTGTAATATCTCTTAAATTGCATTTTAGAACAAGCTAAGAAAACATTCTTATTCATTCAGTGATTAGGAATTCAGAGATTGGTCATAGGCCAAGGGGCTGTGTTACTTTGCCTGATAGAATGCAAGCTCCTTGCTGGCAAGGATTGCTTGATTTTTTTCTTTGACCTACTGATTAATTGGTGTTTCTTCTTCTATTGAAAAGCAATGCTGTTCTTGATTCCTGAAGCTATCTTTACATCCTCAGAGCCTGGTGCACAGCAGGTGCTTACTTACTTGATTTCACCAGCATGGTGAACTCCTCATGTAAAGAACCCTGTTCATTGCTGACTTAGTGATTTATCATCTGTGTAGTTCTGAGCAAATCACTGTCTATCTTAGCTTCCTTATCTGCAATTTGGGAGAATTTTAGTACCTGCCTTCCAGGGTTATTATGAGGAAGATAAAATGAGGTAATATTCATAAGGTACCTTGTAAACTTTGAAGAGCTATATAAATGCTAATTATCATCATTATTATTAAGTATGAAATGTTAATACTTTAGAAACTAAAAGTAAAAGTAAAGAGGATATACCTATCTAAAGATGTATATTCTTTCCGGCTTGCTATAGATCAACTTATGAGCAGAGAGGTGGCTCAGTGGATACAGTGCCAGACCTGGAGTCAGGAAGACCTGAGTTCAAATCCAGCCTCACACACTTACTAGCTGTGTGATCCTGGGCAAGTCACTTGACCCTGTTCGCCTCAGTTTCTTCATCTGTAAAACGAGATGGAGAAGGAAATGGAAAACCACTGCAATATCTTTGGCAAGAAAATATGAGGAGGGGTCATGAAGAGGCAGACATAACTGAAATGACTGAACAATAGTGGAAACAAAAATATCGCTCTGATGCTCTGAAAATCTCAACATTTGATATAGAAATTGGTGATATTCCCAATACTGTGAGTGCTGAAATTCTCTTCTGTGTAAGCTTCACCAAGCTTCGGTTTCTTCTCTGTAAAATGAGGATGCTACTTGTACTACCTTCTTCATAGGTTGTTGTGAGAAAAATGTTTTGTAAACCTTTCCCCATCCTATTTTTTTTGAAAAATAGAAATCCTAGGATCATACTTGGAGTGTAAAAAGTGATCTCAGAAGCCAAGTTCATGCCCTCATTTAAAAGAGGAAGAAATTGAGCCCCAGGGATGTTAAATGACATTCCCTAGGTCAGTTGCAAAAGTTAAGGATTAGAGATGGAATTTGAACTCAGATCTTATGAATCATTCAGAAGGATCTAGTATGAGAATGGCTACAAGCACACAGAATAGATAGCTAATCAAAGCTAGTATTGGACCTAGACTTCTTATAATGGAGCAAATACCACCAGAGAGAGAAAAGAATTGTGGCAACTGCTTATGGATTACTATGAGTGCTTTATAAGTTTTTGTGTGTCTGCTTATAGCCTCCTGAAAGTCCTTTATGTTTCCTACATTTTCTAGGGGTAAAGATTTCCCTTTACCCAATATGCATTTATTATCCTAAGTGCTTATATTGGAACTGGGGAACTGTTACCTATATTCACAGACATCTAGACGTGAGCTATACACGAACTACACTTGGAGATTTCCCCAGTGTAAATGTTGAGTGATATTAAAATAAGTTAAAAAAAAAAAGTACATGCCTTCCTTGAGTCAGTCCCCAAGACAGGACCTGGTCTATGTAAGTCCAGAGCTTAGAGAGCTTTCGTCCTAGAATTATACTTCATATGTATTGTGTATTTACTTATTTGAGAATTCACTGTTTCCATCTAGTTACAGAGTAAGCTCTTTCCTAGCAATGACATTTTTTCTCCTGCCTTTAAGTCCTCGGTGTCTGGAACATAGTAGGTATTTGTGGTCTAATAAGTGGAATGAAAACATTTCATATCAACAATAAGCAATTATTAAGCACCTACCCTATGCTAGGCATTGTGCTGGGTCATGAGATTATAAAGATGAAACAATGGGGCCCTTAGGGAACTTATGTTCCATTAGATCCTAGACTTGAGTGGCCTCAGCTACATGTCCACATAGCTCTGATTTGTGTAATATGTAGGATTAAAAAACAATAATTAACTATAAACAGAGTTGTACATTCTATTTTATTTAAAGAAAAATAGCAAATGTATTAAGAACACAAACCAGAAGTTTATTAAAAGCTTCATACCAAAATATTTAGCCCACTCTGTTACAATATATAGGCTCAAGGTTCTAACAAGTATAAGTACTAGGCCTCAATCCATAGAGCAAATCAAGCTCTGGATGCGAAGTTCACAATATGGATTAGATGGAGCTGGAAACATAAATATTTCTGTCTTCTGCTTTCTAAACACAACTGCAATACGCTGATGATTTGAAATGTTTGGTTATTTGGAGGGAAAGCTATTAAAAAGAATTCCTGAGTACGTCAGTTTAGTAAGAATATTAAGAACTACTGGAAAACAGGAACACTTTTGGATAAACACGTACATTTTAGTATTTATGTGCACAAAACTTAAAACTGCAACCATGAAAAACTGGCACTGCAAAAAAAAAAGTCTTTGGGGATTTTCATAATCCTTCCTTGCAAAAAGGTATTTTTCAAGGCAATTTAATGTTCTTGAATCATCAGACTAGAGATATACCAAAATGAAAAGGCATGGTGAGGTTAGTTGATTACTTTCCCAAATGTTGGAATTTATAAAACTATTAAGACCTCAGGTTATTGATGTTGAGCTGATATTGTTTTTGTCATTGTTGTTTTTGTTGTTGGGGGGTGGGGAGAGGGAGAGGTTAGGGGAAAAGAAGGGACAAAAATCTAAGGTGAGGAAGGAATGAAGCAGATACTAGTCAGTATCATTTAGCATTCATTTTTCCAATTAACATGAAATTAATATGTACTCTCTGGATTTGGATATTTGGGGATGGAATTGCATTCAACAGAATATGAGCTCCTTGAGGGCAGAGACCTTTTTTTCATATCTTTCTTTGTATTTCTAGCACATTACTCATAGTAGGTGCCTAATAAAGCTTATGAATGAAAAACTTTGGGTCATTCATATTCTGGTTAATTTTGATGGTTTCCTTTTCTAAAGTTTCAGTCATCTGATAAAGTTTTGATTTTCTTCATAAAGCTATGAAAATTTCAGAGCTGTGGCACTACACTACATGATGTTGAAAGGTTATCACATACAACCTAGAGAAGAGTTCACAATACCGGTATCTGACTCAACCAATTACAATGAATTCACACACAAACAAAAAATATATATTTAATCTGCTTTGTTTTTCCCCTAAGATCACCCAACCCCATGTGTTTTTTGAAAACAAAACTTTAGGTTACATAGTCAGCATATACATTAAAAAATATATTTAGTCTTTGGCCTGGATTTGGCATTCCTAGCCCAGACTTTCGTGACCTTTCTTTCCAGACTTGAAGCATCTTTCTGGGAATGTAGCAATCAAGGGAAGAAATGAAACCTGAAGCAGATGCTCTTCTCTTTGGATGCAGGCCTCTGACTCACTGTAACCAAAGAGATCATGCTTATACAGGAGCATAAAAAAATACTGCGAGTGATGATAAACTACAATATTGCAGCTGTATGCCACTTCGTTAGAAAACTGTCTCCACTATAGAAATAAGTAGCCAGTTCTATTATGCCACAACCACTTGATTAAAGAGGCTTGTACCCATTGCTTTAACAAACACCTGTGAAAATTGTTTTAAAATAAGTTGCCTCGTAAAAGATGGTTTCTGTGTGTGTATGTGTTTGTGTATTAACATTTAAAATCTTGTTTCTGAAGTTCCTCTCTTTAAGTTGTTACTCAAAAATTCATCATGTTCAAAACTCAAATTATTATGAGATCTTGAGATCATAAGAAGCTTCTCCTTATTTGTAAAGTCTTTTTTGATTGAGGCTTGGGGTACAAGCAACCTATCCATCGGGTCCTCCTTGTTCTCCAGCTTCACGTACCCCTTGCTGTTACTCCGATCCAACCGGGGCCAACTCGGGTGTTTTCGTTGTTCGGCCTGGACAGTTAAGGTGGAGGGACCCCGGTCCAAGTCTAAGGATTTTGAGTGTGAAGACAACAGATGCAGAGATGTGTTGGATCCAAATTGTTTCCTGGCAGCCCCGGGGGACAAAAGCTGTCCAGTTCTACGTCCAAGAGCCACTGACGATTTGTACTGGTTTGAGAGAGATTCCCCAGTGGAATCATTCCGTGGCAGCCCTAAACTGGCTCGCTGGTAGGGTTCGTTGATATTGGTTAAAGGGACAGCCAGTGAATCCATGGATAAATTCCGAGACCTGCATTTGATAGCCTCAGAGTCCTCAGTGATGTTGTCTATGCTAGGCTCATCAATAACGCAATTATTGAGTTTGATCACGGGCAACGTAAAAGCACTGATGGATGAGGACACAATGGACTTGGTTTCACATTTTTTAATGCTACTGTTCTTATCATCTGCTGCCTTGGTATGGGGTGTGGATAGAGGCCAAAGACAGAGACAGGACTGTCAGATAACAAAGGGGGCATGAGGTGACTACCACTCTTGCTCTCACTGAGTCTAAGTTCGTCTTCTTCAGCAGAGCTGTCCATTCGAAAACTGCTCCTAAAACCTGAGAAAGAGGCAAGTGTATTTGCTGCTAATCTTGAGGCACAGGAGTTACCATTCGGCTTTACTTCAGTCTCTCCCATTAAGCCAGTGTAGACACCATTCATCAACTTTTGCTCCTTTATTCTTAGGGTGTGGATATCTATGACGGTGGAGTAGATGTCTCGCATGTGAATGATTTTGGTTTCCTTGTCACGGTTTTCATGTAGAATTGCATTAGCACATATAAAAATAAAAATCCCTATGCCCATTGTAAAGGGGCCAAGCATCTTCATCTTATCAGAGTGTAAATGCTGTTCAAAGAAGCGAACCATGATACCGCCTTGGTTTCTGATCACCTGGGTTTGATTGGTTGACAGCCTGGTTTCAGCATCTATAAAATGCTCTTTTTGGGGCCAATATCCAAGGACCGCCATTGCAATTCCTATAATTGAGATCAGCACTCCTAAAATAAGGAAAAATCCAGATGGAGAATAAAGTCGGATTTTGCCCCGAACAACCACGACATCAGCCCTAGGCCGGCGTCTAACAGGTTTCTTTTCTTGGTCAGCAGGTGCTGGGCTAAGATTGACATGATGCTGAGATCTAGCTGAGTCTTGTCTCTTCAAGGCTGCCAGGCCTGTTATACACCACCAGTTGCTATCATAGTTCTGTATTCTGGCCTGAAAGGAAGAAGAGAATAATATCATAAATACTCTCTTAGTGTACATTCAGAAATCATTTAACTCAACTGAAATAAGGATGGCTCTAAGATTATTGACATTTAACTGGGTTTTTTTTTTCAAAGGCAATCACCTTAAAATGTATGTGCAATTGATTTTAAGCATGTAGGAAAAAATGTTTTTTCTGGAGTAAAAATCAAGCTCACAGAATCCTAGAATATTAGAACTAGAAGTGATATTAGAGATTATCTAACAATGCGTTAATACTAACAATAAAGGCTGACATTTGTATAACATTTCAAGTGCTTCATATATATTCTCTAACTTGGGAAACTGAGGCTCAGGAAATCTCAATGACTTACCCGAGGTCATGTAGCTATTAAGTAGTGGGCTTAGGGCTGGATCTCAGATCTTCCGATTCGCAGTCCTGTGCTCTTTTCACTAGTTTGCACCCCTCAATTAATTTGTGAAGTTTTGAGACCAACTTTCATTATACACAAATACATTTTGGCTATGATACTCTGATAAACATTCACTTTAAATGGGTGTTAGCATTCAGGACTTTTAAAAAACTTTCTACCTGACAGTTTGTCAAATTTAAAATATGTCATTAAGCAAAAAGTCACCCAAAACTAGTACAAATGTGTACACTCATGTACACATAATTCAATCAACATTTGTTAAAGGCCTACCAAGGGTTAGACACTATAGTAAGCACTGGGGATACAAAAAGAGACAAAAGACAGACCTTGCCCTCAAGGGGCTTACAATCTAATACACACACACAACACACACACACACACACACACACACACACACACAGAGAAATATTCCTTCAAGCAGATTACCAGAGGCATAGTTGATTCTAGTGATATAAATAAAATGTCTTTCTAAATTTCCCAAAATATATCATTATTATATTATATATAATTATATATTTTATATATAATAATATATCATATTATTCCATATTTATAGTAGCTTCCAAGGCAAATAGAAGATTTGAAAGCACATGCTATGATTTTGTTTATCTCCTGTGTTACTTGGCTGTTACCACTTTTACACACAAAAGTGATCCTCCTTTCCTGGTGAATAAAACTACCAATATTGAGGCTATAGAAGAAGGATTATATAAATGAAGTAAAATGGGAAATCAAAATTATTTCCCCCTAATTAAGACCCACAAACACACCTACTATTGAGGATACAGAGTTTGTAAAAAAGAATTCAATTACCTACCAGGTTCATCTTGATCACACATATTGCCTGTTAAAATTTCTACCTGGTTTATGTGGATATAGCCTTAGATTCTAATTAGTATGGAAGAACTTAATAGTGCCTCATCTCATCAAAACATGCCACCATAATCAACAACAATGTTTGGATCTTTAAAAAAAAATACAATTTGAGATATGTGTGTATATGTGTGTTTATTTCCTCCCCCCAGGGAAATTTTTTCTGAAATTTTATATTCTTTATCTCATCTTCTTTGTCCGTGTGGTAAAAATGACCAAAAATATTAGTCATATAGTTACAGGATGTTGGGTCCTTATTTCAATCATTTTATTAACAGATGAAGAAACTGAAATTCAGAGAGGGGAAGCAACTTGTCCAAAGACACAAAGCATTCTTTTGTCAGGAGTGTAGCTTGCTAATTTCTGTAAATCCTCCAACAAGCTTTCCCTTATAAAAATGACTGCTCATGTAAATTATGAGAGGTCTAAATTTACTGCATATCACCTTGACGTGCTTTTGTAGCATGCCTTTTTGCCTGAACTTTTGATTTCATTGATGTAGGGAGAACCCTGTCCGCACGTAGAATAATGCTCCCCATATAGAATGGTATCTGCTCTGTAACTGCTTGCCTGTCTTAGAGAGTTGCCTGGGGGCCCTGAGAGTTTCATGTGCAATCATCTTTTTAAAATTCTACTATATTATGGAAATTTTTGTTTTATTTAATAAATTAGAAATAAAATAAAAACTTCAGGGACTTGTACAGGGTCCAAGGGTTAGTGTGTGTGTGTGTGTGTGTGTGTGTGTGCGCATAGATGTTTTATACACACACACACACACACACACACACACAACCACATACACACACAGGAAATATGTGCAGTACCTTTAAATGTCCAGAAGACACACAAGATTAATCTGCAAAACTTAACCCTGGGAAAGAGAGCCTTAATTTCCCTGTCACACTTCTATTTAGAAGGAACAAAGTCTAGTGGGAAAAGTTGCTTGACTTGGTATTCAGGTTGCATGGGCTTAAGACCCCCACCCTGACACCAGCAGTAAAACTTTGACCAGTTTATTTAACCTCTGGACTGCAGCTTTCTCATCTTTAAAATGGAGATTGATACCTATACTACCCACTTCACAGGGTTGCACGGTTTGAGAGGCAATATGTCGGAGACAGTAGATAGATAGAGCACTGGACTTCAAAGGAAGAAGATCTCGATTCAAATACTGCCTCAAACACTTGCTATCTCTGTGATCCTCAGCAAGTTACTTAAACCTTCTCAGCCTCATTTTCCTCAATCTGCAAAATGAAGGAGTTGGATGTAATGGTCTCCTAGACCCTCTAAATCTATGATCTTATAAATATGGTTTGCAAATTAAATACCTTATTAATAAATATGAGCTAGGACAACTACTAATATCAGCACAAATAAGTGATCTAATCTCAAGTTTTGTTATTGGAAATATGATCGTCAGAAGTAGAAATGAGAGTAGGGATTCAAGTCTTACTAGCTATATGATTATGGGTAAGTCACTGAATCTCTCAATGGCCCCAAGAAATTATCTAAGACCATAATTTGCAGAGGGCAGCTAGGTGATGCAGTGGACAGAGTGATGGTCCGGGAGTCAGGAAAACCTGAGTTCAAATGTAGTCTCAGACACTTAATAGCTGTGTGACCCTGGGCAAGTCACTTTGCCTCAGTTTCCTCATCTGTAAAATGAGCTGGAGAAGGAAACGGCAAATCACTCCAGAATCTCTGCCAAGAAAACCCCAAATTGGGTCTTTAAGAGTTGGACATGACTGAACAGCTCAAGTCTTACACTGATGTCTCACTGTAATGTGGAAGGGACCCTGAGCTCTTGGAGACTGCTGGTGTAGAGAGTGAAAACTCTAGCATAGCCAAAATAGAAAGGCTTCAATTAAAGCAGCAGATATGTCTGTTGTCCAACTTAGCTAAATGCAGAGAGAAGCTCATAGTGATGGACTTTTTTCCAACCATAAGCAACACCCAGAGAATGTTTACAAAGTTATATAGGGGCTTATGACCTGTTGGAGTCTAAAGTGTTTATGCAGTACCTTAAGCTTTGCCAGGTGTGTTACACAAGTTATCTCATTTCATCCTCATAGCAGTCCTTGGTGCCATTATTATCCCCATCTTATGGATGAGGAAACTGAGTCTCAGAGAGGTGAACTGATCTGCCCAGGGCCATCTGACTCATAAGTATTTGCGGCAGAATTCAACTCAGGTCTTTCTGACTCCAACACTCTAACTACTGCGCCACCTAGCTATCAAATATTGGCGGTGTTAGTGCCCACAGTAATGAAAAGAAAGATTCCTTGTAGTACTGGATGAGAAGAAAGAATGTAGGAGACACAATGAGACATTTTGTTCTGTTTTGGGACAAATGGGATTATAGAACCAGAATATTATTAAATATTAGGTGAAGTGATGTCAAATATACTAGAAAAGATAAAAAATAGATCTTAATCTAACTTTTAACTTTTGACATTTATTTAAAAATTACTTTATGGTGAGTAAGATAGAATAATGCAATTATACATTCATGCCATTTTATAGTTTTTACTGAAGACCTCCACTTTGGCAGGAGGGCTAGCTGAGGGGCCAGGAATTATTAAAGAGAAGCAGATGGACTCAGCTGGGGCTCTTGTTGGGTCATTTATTCTGCTTCCATGCCATGAGATCAAGACATCTAGGGTCCCAGCCAGGCTGTCAGGACCCATCAACACTTAGCTGGCAGATAGATGGAGGTAGGGCAGGACGGTGGGGGGTGGGGGAGGAATAAGATAAATTGGAAGAAATAAATAGGAAGAAGAGGGGGAAAGGAGACAGAAAACAAAAGTGAATGAAGAAAAAAAGGAAACAAATAGGGATAGACCCCTCTACCATTATCCTTGTCCATATGTGTCTATTGAAATCTTATGCATTGTTCAAAGCCTAGCTCACCTGTACCAGGCACTTTTCCAAGTTCTCTTTTCTCTTTGGTTATTGTAATAACCTGCTGGTTGGTCTGCTGGCCTGTCTCTTCCTAATGCAATCCATTCTCCATTTAGCCACCAAAGTGATTTTCCTAAAGCCCACCTCCACCCCACCACACACCCTCAATAAACTCCAGTGACTCTCTGTCACCTACAGAATCAAATACAAAATGTTCTGGCATTCAAAGCCCTTCATAACCTAGCCTCACTCTATCTACTTTTCTAGTCTTCGTACAGCTTAACTGTTTCCTTTCTTCCCTTCCCACTCCATGTACTCCTTGATCCCACAACACTGGCCTCCTTGCTCTACCTGGAACAAGCCACTCCATTGCCCACATTTTCTCTGGCTGCTCCCATGCCTGCCCCATGCTCCCCTTCCTCATCTCTACCTTCTAGCTTCCCTGGTTTCTTTCAATTTCCCAGCTAAAATCCCACCTTCTGCACAAAGTGTTTCCCAGTTCCCCTTCATCCCAGTGCCTTCCCTCCATTGATTATTTCCTATTTATACAGCGCATAGCTTGTTCATACTTATTTGTTTGCATATCGTCTCCCCCCCATGAGCTCTTTTAGGATGAGGACTGTCTTCTGCCATTTTTTGTATGCCTAGAACTTAGCATAATGCCTAATACCAAAAAGGTTATTAAATGCATATTGAATGACTGGTTGATGACCTTTCCACCTACTGGAAATTATCTAGTCTAAGTAGGCCTTTTTACCTCATTTTCGATTCTGCATTGTGTTCTTATACTGTACATT